GAGAGATGGCAGCTTGATCCTTCATGTTTCTTTTGTATTTTGGTGATGAGGTTTGGGTAAGTGGACTTCTTTTGTTAGTTCTTTGTCTGATGTGGACAAAGCAGGCTAGAGAAGAAAAGAGGATGTGCAGGCTGGTTAGACTTAAAGGATGGAAATGGCTTAGCAGAGTAATGTCAATAGAAAGAGGAGACTGGGCTGGGGCAAATATGTGTCCCCGTCCAAGCCTGGAGTGTGGGAATAGATCTAGCAGTGTAGAGAGGTTAGATTCGGCATAGGTGAGGCATGTGGTTTGGGGCCTGTAGGGAAGATCCTGTCAGAATCCTGGAGGTTGGTTGTGGTACAGACAGGATTGGCCATACAGGATTACCATTGGCCGGGGCAGTGGATGTAGGACTCAGGCTAGATCTGGTGGTTGGGGAAGGTGCCTGGAGGGAAGGGCCAATCAGACTCACTGGGTTAGACCCTGGAGGAGGTGCATATTCTGGCTCAGGAGAAAGATTGGATGTGGTGTGAGAGGGCTAGGATGTACATACTTACATACATACATGTATGTATGTACATATGTATGTATGTATGTGTGTGTGTATTGTATGTGTGCTTGTGCACTGAGGAGGACCTAGTTTATGTGCTGCAAGTCCCGAAGCAGTGATAAAAGTATTTATAATTCAAAGTCATCTTGGGTCTGGGCAGTAGGGGGCAGCCTGCAGCTGCATCCAAGAGCAAGAGAATTCAGATGTACCTGGTTAGAGCAGGCTTGCTTATCAGCTCTGTCTGGACAGGGAGAGACTGTGCCTATGGGTCCTGAGACCCATGTTTTGGGAGACAGAGTAAGGAGGCTAGAGGGTTTGTGATTTAACAGGTAATACACACTGTTTTGATGGCCAGTCCATCCCCAAGAGGTGCCAGCCCCCAAATGATACTTAAGATCTAGAAGGTTGTAGAGTTGGTCAGAGGAGCACAGGGGGTCTGAGAGTCTTCAGAACCCTCAGGTCACACCTTCTCAGGTGTCTCTATCCTCAAACCTAACATGGCCTCCATCACTCTTTTGTTGTGACAGGGTGAGTCTCCCTACACAGCCCTGGCTGTTGTGGAACTCACTAAGTAGACAAGACTAGCCTCAAACTCATAGACATCCACCTGCCTCTGCTTCCAGAGCCACAACACCCAACTTGAGTAAAATACTCTGACACCTGTTGGCCTTTGCTATCAAGTGGCTCTTGCACTGAACATCCTTACCCTTGTTCTGGTCCTTAGAACTCAGGTTACAACTTGCTGAATTTTATCTCATCACTGGCCCATCCAAGGCATTTCTCCCAGAACTCTCAGCTCTTTAATGGGAAACAGAGATCTCTAATTTCTCTCTTTTTCATTTATAAGAGTTCATTTCACCCTTCATCTCCACTAGCATTTTTTATTTCACTTTTTTGAAATCTTAATTTTTTATTATTGTGCGTGAGTATATAAGTGTTGGCACCAGGGCACCTATGTGGATGACAGACGACGACTTTGTGGAGTTGGTTCTCTCCTTCCGTGTTTCCATGGGTCCTGGAGATTGACCTCAGGACCTCAGGCTTGTGTGGAGGCATCTTTACCTTCTGAGCTATATGAGCCATCTGTCTGCTTTCTAGTTCCTGGGTATTGGTCATTGTATTTCCTTAGTTCTGAGGGAGAAGAGGGAAGCCAGAGTGGAGAGTGCTGGCAAGGAATCCCTAGGAAGAAAACTGCTCATGTGGACCCAAGGAAGAAAAAGTAGACACGGGACACTAAAGGAAGTGGTGTGTGTGTGTGTCTGTGTGTGTGTGTGTGTGTGTGTGTGTGTGTGTGATGCGTGCATAAAAACAACTAAAGAAAAAGTAGCATGAATTTGAAATAGAACAAGGTGGGTTACATGGGATGGAGGAAAGGGAGAGAGAAGTAATGTAATTTTAATCTCAAAAATAAATGAATTCTTAAAAATAAACAGATGGTTCCCTTGCAGTCTATTGCTGGCCACCTCTCACCAGGGCCTAAGAAGGCAGGCAGGATTTTTTTCATATTTATTTATTTAAATTTTATTTTATTTTATGTGCATGGGTGTTTTGCTTGCATGTACATTGTCTGTGCACCATGCACATACAGTGCTCACAGAAGATAGAAGAGGGCATGAGATCCTCTGGGAGTACAGGCACAGACATGTATGGTCTGCCATGTGGGTGCTGGGAATCAAACCCAGGTTGTATGGAAGAATAGCCAGTGTTCTTAACCACTCAGCTTTATCTATAGCCCAGAATGCATGTGTTTTCCCAAAATTCAGAGCCCTAAGAGGGTCCAATTCTTTGTAATCTACAGGATCTTATCTGTAGTATCTTTATCCCATCATCCCTGAGACAGCCAGTCTACTGGCTCCTCCCACTGCCCCTTACTTATCAGAAGTCTCTGTAACTGTCAAGTGCATACACGGAATGATTGGATGGGTTGTGGCCCAAGTTCCGCTTTCTCATGTTTAGCTTAGTTTCATCATCCTTGAATTGGGAAGTTACTAAGCTGTACTCCCTAATTCTTTCAAACAGTTCTAGCACCTGGAAACAGTGCACTCAAATAAATGAGCCTATTGGGGCCATTCGCGTTCAAACTACTACAGTTAGAAAGTGGGTCTTCTCAATTCCTGTCATTCTACAGTAGACTTTTTAAAATGACTTTAATCTAGAGAATTTAAATGTTTTTAAGACTGCATGTTTTCTTTTTTGAATATACAGGTAATAGTGACCTCATTTTGGCTAAAAAAAAACCCTATCCTTTTATAAATACCTCAAATATATCTTCTTATGTTCACACAACAGGAAGATATAATAGCAGTCATTTCGTAATTATTGTAAGTGATGAACAATAGTTTCCAAAGACTCTAATTACCAAAGTTCACAAAGAGGCAACAAATACTCATGTATCTACTGTGTATATTGGGCTCGCCACTAACATTACTACAATGGAAGAACAGATAGCCTCCTTG